ATTAAATCTTGACTGTTGTACATCTTACAACAGAAGATGTAATACGCTTAATTTTTCAGTTGCGAACAATACTAAGAAGGGTACTAACTTTGTCCAATTGTGACTTCAAACTCACTCAGAAACTTGCTCGAAAAGTGAAGTGACAACAGAGAATTTCTTCTTGTACTATCAAAGCGCACCACAGAATATTTTTATTGAAATTTGTTCCATCAATCTTTCCCTTGCTGGATCTAATTTTTTGAACTTTGAGGGTTATCGCAACATCAAGGTTGTCTCCCAGCGCACCCGCGAAAAATTGGTTCATAATCCCTGATGCAGAAAAGTCGTGAGTGTCTAAGACTACTCACACTTCACGTTTTTGTTGAATCTGAACAGATGATGTCACACGATGCAAGAAGATTAATCTGGATTTTTGAGGAATGCTGCTCTATGCACTGGGCCAACACACATTTTCAGAAAATTCTGACGAAAAAGCGATTGCCTTCTTTTGAAGGCTTTAGAGGAGTAATATACAGTTGTGGGACAACAATGGTCGCTAAGCGCAATTTATGCAGCTTGAGCCGCGATGCACGTAATTCTTGATACATCAAAAACCTTATGTTTTCGGTTTAAAAAAGTCAGCAACGAGAGCCGAGGTTTTGGGGGAATTGAAAGTCACGGTATTCGAGTATTTAACTCCCAAGAACAGGTTATCAGCAATCTAATCACCCCTTCCAGAAAGTGCAAAAGGTGAATAACTGTCTTCAGTGTACTGAGTCATGTATATTGACAGAAAGAATACCCAGTACCCGTTTGTAAATTGGAAAAAACTTGTAAAACTGGTTTGAGCTTCAGCTACATAGTAGCATCAAAAATAAAAAATTATTGCCCCATCAATTTAGTACAAAAAATGAAGCGAGATTTGGCTTTGATGCCTTGGCGAATCACCCATGTCGTGCCACGGAAGCCTCCACCAGCAAAGAAACCAGATCGTCCTGCGGTAGCACTGCCAGTAGATGTTTGTCCTGATAAGTTTGATGCAATCACAAGAGGTGAGTGTCCTTTAGCATAACTCATCACGGACTCCCAAAAACACTGAGCAGTCCATCAGTATAAGCATTAATAAGTAAAAGCAGATGAATTTGCATGATATGTGCTACTGGAGGATCACAGGAGAGCAACATAGCCGGCAAATATAATATAATAAGATCTCCCATAGATTTTCGGAAAAATAGAA